TTCAGTATTCTGTATGCCATGAAGAGATACGGTGATATTTATGGAGATTTAAACTTAGCCGTGAAGGATGAGTCAAGTTAGGTGGCCTAAATGGTGTTCCCATTGAACTAACACTTGCCACAAGTATATAATAAGCTATATTAATTATGTGTTTTGCATAAAATTGTCAAAACACAGTCATGTGTACATAGTGGTATAAGATCTTGAAAAAAAATCTATGTATTGTGCTCCTCACTGTGAATGGGAAAAGCCATTTTTAGTAGGTGATTACTATTTGAAAAACATTGGATGTACATCTGAATGTTGCATTGTATTGTACAGCATGCATATTATTGTTTGTGGCTGCATATGGCAATGAAGTGTTTGTTTTATAAAAAAAAAATCTGCTACGTACAGTTGAAAAAAATTTTGCATTTGCTAAAAAAGGGTGAGTCAAGTTAGGTAGGCCAGGTGGAGATAAGTCTTTCAGGCAGAGGTTGGTGAGTTTGGGACCAGTGTGCTGGGGTTAAAGGGTTGGTGACTGGTAAGGCTGGGAGGCAGGAAAGGAGACGGGGCATCTTTCCACTCTCAGCACTTTCTTGGACCTAGGGAATGTAGGGCTCCTTTCCTTGAGTTGAGAGGTGGCAGTTGCAAAGCTAGAGGTTTATCTTCCTGTGTGTTGAGGTGGTATCCATCATCCCCTTTGCATCATTCCAGAGCCAGATGAAATCAGAGCTGGCAGCTGTGGCTTCAGAGTTTGGGCGTCTGACACGGTTTCTGGCCGAAGAGCAGGCAGGGTTGGAGCGGCGCCTCCGAGAGATGCATGAAGCCCAGCTAGGGCGTGCAGGAGCTGCGGCCAGCCGCCTGGCGGAGCAGGCCACCCAGCTGAGCCGCCTGCTGACAGAGGCCCAGGAGCGGAGCCAGCAGGGGGGCCTGCGGCTGCTTCAGGTGAGCAGTGTCTGCTCCCTGTCCCCCCCACCCACAACTCCCCCAGCCCCCTGTGTGGCTCTGTCAGGCAGTGCTTACTAAGACACCTGTCCAGAGCCGCCTGTTTTCTCCTGGGAGAAGCCCACCAAGATTTAACCTGAAGACCAAAACCATTTTTTGAGGCTGGAGACACAGTTAATGTCAAATGTGTGTGTGACGATGATTGTACCCAGTGAAAGCCAAGAAGATAGAGTTGAGAGTGAGGGACTTAAATGAGAGTTGAGGAAAGAATTTTTGACAGTGACACCCTGAAAAAGGTGACCAAGTCAATACTGTGAAAATTCTATTGTTGGGCTCAGCAGGTGAGATGAGTTAGGGGTGGTAAGGCATAGGGGTTGAGAAGGGTGCATGTTTGTTGAGGGCCTTGAGGCTGCTGATTCTCCCTTCCTGTTCAAGTTCAGTCCTTTCTCTGGCTGGAGATTGGGGGAAAGGAGCTGTCCCTGTGCAGCTGACACTTTTTTTGTCTCTTTCTCCCTCTCTTTTTGTTTCTGTTATTCGCAGGACATCAAGGAGACTTTCAATAGGTGTGTTTCCACTCTATACCCTTTGTGACCCAGTGGCATCTGGTTCCCCGTCCCTGCCTCTTTTGGGTATCCCTCCCCTCTCCTGCCTTCCCCAGGACCTGAGTTGCTGCCTCCTGGACCCTCCCCTCTCCTTCCCCCAGCTTCTGCTCCTCCCTCTGGGAATATCATGGTCCCACCCCCTGCCCGGTCCCCTTCCTCCAGGTGTGAAGAGGTACAGCTGCAGCCCCCAGAGGTCTGGTCCCCTGACCCGTGCCAACCCCATAGCCATGACTTCCTGACAGATGCCATCGTGAGGAAAATGAGCCGGATGTTCTGTCAGGCTGCGAGAGGTAGGGAGGTCACCTGTACGACCTTCCTTTGCCTTTCCCTTCACAGACCTGAGATTGGGTCCTGAGGGAAGTTGGGCCCCGGGGGAGGTGTGGGGAGCTGAGATGGAGCAGGATACAGGTGGGCTAATCTGAGGTTTCCAGCCAAGAGTAGTCTGTCCTAGCTCAGCTAGGTTTTGGGGGTGGGGCGGGGTGGCAAGAAGAGCCAGGGCCAGTGGGCAGACCTGCCAGGTGTCCTGGGAACAGGAGTGAGGAGAGAGGTGGAGCCCACAGGAACCTGGGCCTGTCCTCTCGGCTGGTGTTGGGAGTCAAGGGGAGCTGGGTAGGGGCAGGCCGGGAGGACAGCAGGAAAGGCCGAACCTGTGGAGTTGGTTGCTAATGGGGAACAGTCGTTCCAGCCCGGGCATATTTGTCCCCCCCCCCAAGTGGACCTGACGCTGGACCCTGACACGGCTCACCCGGCCCTGATGCTGTCCCCTGACCGCCGGGGGGTCCGCCTGGCAGAGCGGCGGCAGGAGGTTGCTGACCATCCCAAGCGTTTCTCGGCCGACTGCTGCGTACTGGGGGCCCAGGGCTTCCGCTCTGGCCGGCACTACTGGGAGGTAGAGGTGGGCGGGCGGCGGGGCTGGGCGGTGGGCGCTGCCCGTGAATCGACCCATCATAAGGAAAAGGTGGGCTCCGGGGGGTCCTCTGTGGGCAGCGGCGATGCCAGTTCCTCGCGCCATCACCATCGCCGCCGCCGGCTCCACCTGCCCCAGCAGCCCCTGCTCCAGCGGGAAGTGTGGTGTGTGGGCACCAACGGCAAACGCTACCAGGCGCAGAGCTCAACGGAGCAGACACTGCTGAGCCCAAGCGAGAAACCACGGCGCTTTGGCGTGTACTTGGACTATGAGGCTGGGCGCCTGGGCTTCTACAATGCAGAGACTTTAGCCCACGTGCACACCTTCTCAGCTGCCTTCCTGGGCGAGCGTGTCTTCCCTTTCTTCCGGGTGCTCTCCAAGGGCACCCGCATCAAGCTCTGTCCTTGATCAGCCTGCCACCCGCAGGGGCCCCTCTGGTCAGCACTAGGGGGACGGGTGGTGGTAGAAGGTGGCCCGTAAGTTTGGGGGCTCAAAGGCTCCTCCCGCTGTTTGTTACTGTGATGCTTCTCGCTTCCCCTTGACCCCAGGCCCCTGCTTCTCCTTCTAGGAGCCTAAAGAACCCTCCTGGCCTCCAGCTCGGCCTTCTCTCACCTCTGTCCAACAGGTCTGCATGGGTCCCTGATAATGAGAACAGCTGCCTGGCCTTCCCCCCCGTCTGCCCGTCCCATCCGAAGGAAGGGATGAGGGGAGATTGTAATTTCATCCCCTGACTTCCTCACCCCTACTCCTCAACCTCAGTGTCAGTTCTAGGGCTGGAGGGTTTGGGCAAGACTCACAACATTCTCATTCCAATTCCATTTTCTGATGCAGATTTTAGCTAAGGGATTTGGAAGCTGTTTTGGGGAGGCAGGCTGGGCCAAAGGGTAGAGCTGGGTAATAAAAAAATGTCTACTCTTCTGGGGAAGGAGGGATTCTAAACTTTTCCTTCCATCCCCAATTTCTACCTCCATAGACCGGCCAGAATTTAGCTTCAGTGAGAGATCTGGAATGGTCGCCATGATTGAAACTACATACCATACGTCACCCAATAAATTATTTTCTCCCCCTTCCCTTTTCCAGCACTCAATCTAGGAGCGAAGCTCTTTCCACCCGACACCCCTCCAGGTGTTTTCACTGCCATGCTCCTTTCCATTTTGTTCAAATGGAGTTGGCTTTTCTGTCAGCCTCCATGCCTTTAGTTCCGTTTGGCAAGCCCTGAGGGGGTACTTGGGGATGTGGGGGTTTGGGTCCCCAGGTGGAGAGCCTTGGGTATAATCTATTTTTCTAATAACCCCTTGCCTTGTCACTTATCAGCTTTTGTCCTCTGCTTTGATGGCTGAGGTGAACTCATGTTCTTGGGGAAAAGGGAAGGTGGGTTGTGTTGTGGAAATAAAATCTTTATTTGCTTCTTTTGTGGCGTCCCTTCCTTTACATGAACAGAAACAGGATGTAATTCAAGTGATTTCTTTCTCGCAGTAAGCCTATCCCTCCAGTGAGCACACAACGGAGAACTGGTAGTTCTACTTCATGCCACATTTCTGCACCTGTCACACCTCAATCAACAAGGACTGGATGTTGCTCTTCTTCCCCACCTTCCTTTTGAACACCTTACCTAGTTTCCTTACTGGCAATGTTGAGAATTTACTTGAAGATAATTTGCCATTTCTTTTCTACCACTGCTTTGAGACTGTAGGACTGAGGTTCCCCCGAGAATCTCATACCAATAGCTCACAAGCCCAGGTCTCTGGAACGTTTCCAAGGATGCGTGTGACCAATACCTAGCTGAAACTCAAGCCAAAGGCCTCATGACCATTATGACTCAAGAGAGTAGGAATGGGGGGCACATATATACCTTCAATATGCTGCAGTTGTCACTAGAGTACTGTGCCAAGAAAACTGCAGTTTTGAGGTCTCAACTGAGTTAAGGTTATTGCATCCACACCTGTACTGAGATCTGAAATGACAGTGGTAGTTTTACAGCCATTTCTGATCTTTCACAAGGCATCCATCCTTATGACTAACAGGTGTAGGTTGAGAACTGTTTGGAAGGGCCTATTTTAATTTATGAATACTCCCCAGGCCACTGAGAACTTTAAACAAGTTGTGATTAAGCACCAATTCTTCTGGTGAGAGTTGGCTTGCCTTGAAGATTTAAAAAAAAACACCCACCCCATCTTGATCAAAGACCCAAGTTGATGGAGACTGTGCTAACCTGAAGTTTCGAGGAGTCTGCTATTCCCAACTTGATTGCAATCACTTTGAAACAATCTGTCCCTTTCACTCAGGAACAGCTTCCCTAGGCTTAAGGTAGGCTGATGACCTGTACTGGACTGTAGGACATAGGGATGGGGCAAGTTTGGGAAAACTCCCTCACGACTTCCCATAAATGGTACATCTGATGCCACTGCAACCCTACAAAAAACGGACACAGAACGACATCTCCCTCTCCCCTCAAGGACTCGTTTACTTGGTCTCCACGTTTCGCCCCCAGCTTCCAGGTTGCCAATGCCTCAACTAATGGCTTCTTAACCAATAAGCAACATAGATAGGGACGGAGCCTTAAGTCAGAAAACCAGTTTATTTCTAAAAGCTCTGCTGTAAATTTCTATCGAGTACCGATGGTCACCTGCCACACACGTACCAGGTTGTCTGTGTAGCCAGCAAACAGAGTCTGCAGGAGAGAAAAGACAATGATAGGTCAGCCATGAACTCTGCAGTTCCACTAGTGCCAGTAAAGGCCTGCCTTTTAAGAACCCCACTGATTGCTAAAAAAGAAAAAAATTCCTTCTGAAGTTTCAAGATCATTACTTCAACTACCAGATTGTAGGTGGTGATTATATACTCCTAGAGGAAGAAACAGCCAGTGATAAGGATCCAGACATTTAAAATCTGGTCAAATTAAGCAAGGTATAAACTGAAGAGTGGTAACCACTGTCCTCCAAATCACCTTTCTTCCTTGGTGCAAGAACACATTGGCATGGCTAACTATATCATGCTAATCAACCCGCTAATCTTTTTTGTCATTTCACTTTATGTCAAATACACTGATCTTGTGCCTGACGAACCAGACACACTAACAGCTGAAAGAGGGAAAAGGCTAGCTGGGGCTTGGTGGTACATGCCTGTAGTCCCAGCTACTCAGGAGGCTGAGGCGGGAGATCACTTGAGCCCAGGAGTTGGAGGTTACAGTGACTTATGATCAAGCTACCCCACTATACTCCAGACTTGGCAACAGAGAAAGACCCCCATCTCAAAACAGAAACAAAAAAGAAAAGAAAGAAAAGTTGGAAACCGAGTCACCTCAGAGGACAAACTGACTTACCTGGCCATCAGCAGACCAGGCCAGAGAGGTACACTGGGGTGGCTCTGCCTTGCTGCTGGTACTGATAACTTCTTGCTTCAGTTCATCTACAATTATCTTGCCCTCTAAGTCCTGGGAACAGGGTAATACCAACGAAAACACCCTGAACGCTTCCATCCACGACAGAGGTTCCCCCTCAAAGCCCCTTCATAACTCAGATTCTCAACAGGATGACTCTGCCCCCAGGGGACATGTGGCTACATCTGCCTGCATTTTCAGTTGCCACTACTGGGGAGGGAAGGATGGTTTGCTATTGGCTTCTAGTGGGTAAATGCTAGAGATGCTGCTGAACATACTAAAATGCACAACACAGCAGCCCACTACAAAGGATTGTCCGGACCAAAATGTCAATTTGTGCTGAGGTTGAGTAAGCTGCTATACATGGCCATCCCACCACTGCGAATCCCCATCCTGGGAAACTTAAACTTGCCGGGTCTCCACTGACAGTCTGACGATTAGCCATTTATTCAGGAAGCCTGGCTCCCAGCTGGGAGTCAGGTGGCACCTACAGTCATCACAACATTGCCAGGGCTCACCGTGTGCACCAGGCACTCAGGCTGAACCACACCACAGCCCACACTCACCCAGATCTTGATGCTGGGGCCTGTGGCAGCGCAGAGCCAGTAGCGGTTAGGGCTGAAGCACAGGGCATTGATGATGTCCCCACCATCTAGTGTATAAAGGTGCTTGCCTTCATTGAGATCCCATAGCATGGCCTGGCCATCCTAGGCAGACAGGTAAGGTGAGTCAGGGCAGTGTAACCTCTTCCAGATGTTAATCCCACCTATCTCCAGAATTCTGTCAGAATCCATCCTTCATACTTTCTCCCAGTACCCCAGACTTCCGGAAAGCCAATGACTCAAAGGACTAATTATTTATTTCTGTATGCCTTTCCTTTAATGCAGAACACCTCACCTACCAAAAGCCACTGTCAAGTTATAAATAAATTACTATGATCAGTTCTGAAAACAGAATACCAACCTCATCAATTGCTCCAAGAAACCCAACATTATAGAAAACAATTCTTTTCTTTTAAACAGCATGCCTTTTGCTACACCATTTTCAGAAACTGATGTTCAGAAACACATTGTTGGACTGCTATCTCATCATCCTCCTCCATCAATCCCGCTAACCTTTTAACTGTCATTTCAATTTTACATTAAAGACACTGGTTAAGTATTCTTCCCACGATACTGTCCCTCACTGAGTAGGACACTTTTGGCCCCAGAATACCTTGCCTCCAGAAGCACAAAGCGATCCATCTGGTGAAACAGTCACCGTGTTCAGATAACCCGTGTGGCCAATGTGATTGGTCTTCAGCTTACAGTTAGCCAAATTCCATACCTACATAGATGGGTGGGGTTGACAGGTGAGGCACCTAGCTCTGGCCTGACTAGAGCAGGAGGGTTCAGGCCCAACAAAAGAGGTATGGCACCTTGTTTAAAAAGCATTCCTGGATAGAGTGCCCATTTATCATTCCATCAGTAGTAACAAGAAGAAAAGGTTAAAAACTTGTCCTGACCACTCAAGGACAGCTGAGATTAAAAAGGTACCAAATGCTGTGTGCTGACTTAAAAGGAGCTAATGAGCTACTTCAGGAAAAGTCAACTGAGGGAATCTGCAAAAACCTCTGAAGCTGGAGACTTTGTCGAGGAGCACATTCTGGCGGGTAAAGGCCTGTGCCGTGGCTCAAAGCTCACCTTGACCAGCTTGTCCCAGCCACAGGAAACGATGATAGGGTTGCTGCTGTTGGGTGAGAAGCGGACACAAGACACCCACTCCGAGTGGCTCTCATCCTAGAGGATGGAGAGGAAAGGAGGAAGGGGAAACAGTCCTGCCTCATGAAACTCTGGATCCCCCACCCCTCCCTTCAGTGGGAGGCATGTTGGCAGCTTTGCATTGGCATCCTTGGAACTTGAACCTTTGATGTCTCTTTAAATTCCCGACAAGACTTTAAAATCACCACATTAAAGCAAAGGTTAAGAAAAAGGGTGGGAGAAAACCTTTTGACATGTGCTCTCTGCCCACGCCTTCACTTTACCTGGACAGTGTACTTGCATACACCCAGAGTATTCCATAACTTGATGGTTTTATCTCGGGATCCAGAGACAATCTGCCGGTTGTCAGAGGAGAAGGCCACACTCAGCACGTCCTTGGTATGCCCTACAAATCGTCTCGTGGTGGTGCCCCTGGGAGGGAGAACTCGATCATTCTCCAGACAGACTTTGCAAACACTCGTCCAGTGACATCATTTTCCTGGCCTAGTCCCTGTCCCTCTGCAGCACTCACGAAACCCTGGGAAGCGGCTCTAATCACAGCAAGCCCTTGGCTAAGTATCCATGTGCCAGAGAATCCCTTCAGAATTGCAGGACATGTCCTCACTCCCACATGGGGGTTGGCTGACAATGTCATCTGTCATCACCAGGACCCTCTATTCCACCTGCCAACCGCCTATCCAGGACAGAGCCTTCAAGATAAAACATACTCAAACTAGTGTTGCCTGCTCCAAACTGCTGCACCTGGCAAAAATGTTCCACCAGATCACCCCTCAGCAATTCTGAGCTAACTCAACTCAATTAAAGCACAGGAGGCCAAACCACCACAGCTACCTTGTCCAAGTACTCTGCTTTACAGTTCCAGGTGGACCTGATTTCCCCCGGGGAAACTGCCCCCTGCCCAATCGACCTCATCTCTGCCCAGCTTTCTCCCAAGCCCCCAGAGCTAAGAGAGTGGCTACTTGCGTTGTGAGATCCCAGAGGCGCAGGGTTCCGTCCCAGGAGCCTGAGAGAGCAAACTGGCCATCTGAGGAGATGACCACGTCACTAACGAAGTGGGAGTGACCCCGCAGAGCACGCTGCGGGATACCGTAGTTGGTCTCATCTCTGGTCAGCTTCCACATGATGATGGTCTTATCTAAGGAGAGATGAAACAGAGAAGGAAACGAGTGAGGAACTCTGCAGCCCACATGCCAACCTACTAGGTAATTCAGGATGTCTCAAGGTTACAGTGGGTGGGGTAACAAGATGACAAATTAAGGACACGTAAGGGAGGACGGGAACGATAGGCTACAAGAGCATTTGCTAGGCCAGGGCTGAGTGACTCACTATCCAGAATAAAATCACAGGTACAGCCAGACTGTACCCTGAGAATTTAACTCAGGTGCCATGGAGACCCTTTCCTGAGATTCAGACTAATTAAACTATTTTATCTTTTCTCAGAATACAGAAACACAGCTGTTGGCTACCTGCGGGCCTCCTGTGACTACTTCTCAGCCCGACAGAAACACAGTAATTAACACATCAACTGCCACGTGAGCTGTATTTAACTCAGGCTAGTTTTAAGCCCAGGGCCTCCTGAAGCATATGTAATTCACACATCTCTTTACCTTTACCCTTATGAACTATTTTTCAAGTTGCATAGAAAATAAAAAGTAACAAATTTTCCGTTATATTAGAAAGGATTGTCTTGTTTTCAAAGTTTTTATAATAAAACCCCGTGGCCCCAGGGTAAACAAATTTTTTTTGCAGTGTGGCAGTCAATCCTGGAAAAGTCACTTTTTGCACTACAGGACTGGATGCTTTTACTGAAACGTGTCGCACTCCAGTTTTACGACTGAGAGCCAAACATGATCCTAGCGCCAGACAATTTTAAATAGTGTGGGAGCAAATGGAAGGCACAAGAAGCCTCCAAACGCAATCAGGTACAAAGGGAATGAGAGAACAGAGGGTAGAAAGGACGGGCCAGAAAGAGATGAGTCAGGAGGCCCCCTAGAGTCCACCCCCGTCCCACCGAGCTGTGAACAGGGCGGCAGCTCAGAAACAGCCTCTGGATTTCAGCACAGGCACTCAGATGGCATGTTGGGGTCATCACCGCTCCGCCCGTCCGTGGGTCCCTGCAAACACTTAGCCACATCTGCGGGGAGGCAGGCAAGAAAGGAAAAAAGCCCCCAACTCTCTAACCTTCCTAGCAGCCACAGGCTGATTTCAGTGTTCTTCTGCAATATAGTTCGCCCGGCCTGAGAAATCTGCCAGGCCCGCCAACTCGCGCGCTACCGGCCCAGCCACGCGGCACACGCAACCCCTAGTCCCCCAATCTGTCCCGCACCCTAGCCCGTACCGCGAGAAGCAGACAGTATCATGTCCGGGAACTGCGGGGTCGTAGCGATCTGGGTTACCCAGCCATTGTGGCCCTTGAGGGTGCCACGAAGGGTCATCTGCTCAGTCATGGTGACGGCGGGTGCGAGTGTCGCCGCGGCAATGAGGATGGCTCCGGATAGCTCAGAGAGACGAGCACCACAGCCACTCCCGCCGCGGCCCTGCGGAGAAAAAGAAAGAACAACCGCCCCCCGCCGGAACCGGAAATTCCCGCCGGCTCAAGCAAAACGGCAACCCCCATTGTATATTTCTGCTCAAGATGGCGGCGCCCTGTAGTTTAAAGGGGGAGGTGAAATCGCCTGATGTTGTGGTCTCTCCGCCATGCAAATACATTCAGGTGTTTAAAAAGGCTCCTAAGACGATGATTTAAGGTGTGATGCCGAAGAAGCGAAAGAGGTGAAGCGTACATTCCCATAAGGGATCGCCGAGCGGCTTCTCCGCCCCTTAGTGGCAGGGTGCGAGCCCCGCCTTTTCCGCTTGGTGCTTCGTGGGTGGGCAACGCGGAGGGAGATTTTCAGTTCGCTACTGGGAGTAGGGATGGACCATTTTAAAAATACGGCATTAAAATTTTTAAAAGAAACTTTAAAACCGTGAGCATGTGAACTACCAAAGTCTAACACATTTTCATGTGTAGAGGGCGGCTCTTCCCTCGGGAGGTTTATGTTCTGATGCACTCCAAGTCCAAAAGGACTTAGTCCAGGCAGGACTAAGGCAGAAGAGAGTTACCCGTATGACTAAATAAAAATCTAGGCTGCCGCCAGCTGCCTCCGCAGTCTGGCTGACGTGGGGGGCCGGCGGTGGGGGCTGGAAAAAAAATGTATGTATATATATATATATATATATATGTACACACACACACACATATATATATCGGCCTGTGTGTTGCTAGACGGCCACTCCTTCCCGCCTAGGCAAGGGCGCCAAAAACTCGCAGAAACGGAAAGGACCGGAGAGGAAGGACCTTCAGGCTCTGACTTTTGGGGACTCCAGTCGAAAGCCCCCTCCACGCCTGCCCACCACGTAGAAAATCCCACGGGTCCGGAGGGCCAGACGTGCCCTGAAGGTGTCCCGAGACAGGGAAGCGGTGGAACATGGATACTTGGCTGCCTGCCGGCTTTCCGCTCAACCGCGCGGCAGGTAAATAAGCAATGCCTTCCGTTCTCACACGTCCCTTACTATTAAGGGTCAGCGTTGGCAGCGCCCATGCTCAGTTTCAAAGGGAGACATACCGATCCGGATGATAGCAGCCGCTAACATCTATGCAAAATAAAGGGGGCACTATACGTATTTATTTTTCTACTTGTAACATGTATTAACCTTAGTTTCTCATCTGTGAAATGAGATTGGAAATAGTAATTGGATAATACGTACAATCACATGGTGGTGTGGAAAGTAAAGGAGTAAATAGATAAAGCGCCCAGAACAACGTCTGGCACAGTAAACGCTATGGAACTGAGTATCTCTTGGGTACCAGGCCCTGTTTTAGGTCTTGGGGTATCCCAGCTGTGACAAGGCATACGGGGCCCCTGCTTTATTTTGTTTTGTTTGCAGTTTACATCCTATGGCGGGGGAAGAGGGGTGAAGGGGGAAGATTGGAATAAAGACACACCGAGATGTGAGAAAGCCCAGTGGGTATATGGGAGACTAATGTTCCCGTCGGAGGTAAGTTATATGGGGGAAGAATGTTTCAATCGGAGGGAAGAGTTAGTGAATGCAAAGACCCTGAGCTGGAGCGTCGGAGGAGCTGAGGACCGAGCAGTGAGGTGGAGGAGGCAGTTGACATACGGCCTCGAAGGCTTTAAGAAGGATCTTGGCAATGCGGGTAGGAAGGCAGAAGTCAGGCGACGGGCAGTGGCAAAGCTGCCGCAGAAGGCCAGGCTTTCTTTCTTGAGACCCCTTGCAGACTCCCCTGCCTTCCTCCGCAGTCCCCGCTGGGCTTCGCAGGACGCCATCCTGGCCATGCTGCTCCGCAGCCTGAAAAGCAGACTCCTAGCGCCCCGGGCTTGCTCCTCACCTGAGGTAGGGCCGGGAGCCCAGGCTCAACACGAGCCCCGCTCCGGGTCCCTCACGCACGTTCAAGGTAGGGAACTTTCTGCTCCGCAGGTCCCGTTTCCGGAAGCCAGGCAGTCCCGAGGCCAGCCCCGCCCCTCGCCGGCTGGCGCCCCTCTCCCGGGCCCCCGCCCACCTCTGCCCCGCCCCGCCCGGGCACCGCCTCTCTCCCCGCCTCGCGAGACCGAGACCTCGCAAGGTCCCTCCATCCGCCAGCCGGACTCTCCCGGCGCCCGTCCCTTACCCTGAAAGACACGATTCTGACAGCGGCCCTCCAGTGGGGCAGAGAGGGGAATTGGGGTTTTGTCCTGGAGCCCACCGGGACCTCGATGGCAGTGCCAGCCCGAGGAGGAGAAATGGAATATATGGTGGACTTTCCCGACGACCAGACCCTGCAGGATTCGGGCTTTCCCTTCGGAGTTTTCCTCCAACACCCTCCACACGCCCGGAGGGGATGCCCGCAGGCCACAATGGCCGCTGAAGGACAATCCCGAGCAGAGGAAGGGGCCGCCCCACCTCTGGGGCGACTTCAGGTGTAGCTTGGGGCGGAGCGGCTGCCTTTCCCGTTCGGCGCTAGCTGGCGTCGACCCATCCTCGCCTACCTCTCTTGGGGGCACCACAGCTCCCCGCAGAGGCACACGCGCCTGGCCGGGGCCAGGGACTCCACCTCTCGGGAGGAGGCGGCGGACTGACGCTCCGTCAGCAAAGGGAGCCCTGCCTCTTCCAGCAGGGTGACGTCCTTCTGCTCCCGGAAGGGTCGAACCATCAGCCGCGCTCCTCCCATAGAAGTCTGCCCGTGCCTGCGCCGGCTGGGCCATCCGGCGTCTTCCTCCTCGCCCAGGGGACTTTCTCTCCGGCCTCACGGAGGTGGGAAGCCTGTTGGAGGCCCCCACTTGCTTTTTGGGGAAGACTCCGAAGCCGGCCGACGCCCTGTTGGCAAGACCGTTCCTGGCCGGGCCCGGCGCTGCTGGCTGGAGTTAAGCGGGGCTCATCACTTCTCGCCCAGCCCCGATGCCCCCTCTCCCACGCCTGGGTCCTCACGGGCACCCTTTATTCCACAGAAGGTAAGAATGCCCAGGAGAAGTCGGAGAGGCTCTTTAAGAAAGTCTCACCATTTCCTTTCGGGAAGGAGTCATACAGTTGGAAAGAGCCCCTGAGGCTTCCCTGCCAGAGGTCCAGGGCCTTTTCTGGAGCACACGCCTCTGTCTCCTGCCAGCATTCGGGACCTTGACGGGGGTGGGGGCAGGTTTTCCCTTGAATGCCCAGGTGAGGGCTACTGTAGGTGGTAGGTAGGTGAGGGACTGAGAAGAAGGGGTGTGGCCAGGACCACAGGGGCCCTGACTGCCAGCTAAAGCTCTGGGCAGGTGGCTTTCCCACTGTACTCTAAGATAATGACCAAAATCTTTACTGTGGCTCTGCAGAATCTGTGACTCTCTGGCATGCCCCATGCTCTGTTTTGTGGCTACCGTGGCCCACCCGCTGCTCCTCCAACTTACCAGTTCTCTCCCACACAGAACACACACTGTTCTGCGTGGAAGCTTACCACATCCCTTACTCCTTGCCTCCTTAGTTAAACCTAAGCTTCCTTGGAGTCTCCGCCTAGGTTGCTTACTTCCTCAGGGAAGCGTCTGTGACCCTCAGGTCTAGGTCACATTCCTGTTTCAGGTTCTCATAGGTGGTGTATGGTCCTTTGCTCAATGTGTAGTTATTTCAGTCCCTCAGGGTTGTCATGTGTGAAGGCCCTGAGCACAGGGACTGGTCTGTTTCTGGTCAGTCCTGCATGCTCAGCACCCAGTGGAGGAAGATTCCTCTACTGTCATGTGGAAGATTCTAATTTGGGTGGCCAGCCTCACAGGTTGAATAGTAAGGGGCACGTAGTTAAAGGAAGGGCTTTCAAGGCAGCGCAATCAGCATGGGTGCAGAGGTTGGGAAGGGATGGCTTTGAGAGGGATGGTAAGAGAGAGTGTGAAACCTCACGTGGGCAAGGAGCCCTAGCCAGGAAGGCATTTGCTGCTAAGGAAACTGGATTTTGTCCTGAGGCCTAGGGCAGTCTTTTTAGGATTCAGATCTCATCACTCTCTTGCCTAAACTTTTTTTTTTTTTAAAGCATAAGTTTTTATTGCTACCTGCCAAAGGCATGTGTTGTCAGGGTGGAGGCTAGGTTGGAGGAGTAAAATTAGAAACAAGAAGCATTAAGAAACTACTTCAGTAATCTAGGCAAAAAGTGAGAAAAGCTAAGGGCTGAGACCGTGGACAGGATGGGCTCTAGGAGGGCTGTAAGATGGCCATAAGAGAGGGAGAGGATAAGTACTTACTAAAGGCTTTAGGATTCATGGATTGAACATCTCTTGTAATCTTTGGCTCGTCCCTACCCTACTTCCTTCACTCCATTGTCTAGATTTGGGCTCTGTAGAAGCAACTTAATGTTTGAGGGCTAAAGAATTAAGCACAAAAAGGTTGGAGACCAGGAAACGTGGGAGTACAGTTATAGGTGCTGTTCCACTCCTCCTGGTGAGAGGTGGGTTGTGGCACTGTGGCATTAAATCAATTCCTGGAACAGATCTTACATAGAGATCACGTGATTTTTTTAAAATATGTCTACCTCCTGATAAAGATTCAATGTCCATCTTATGCAGGAATCTGAGGTCTAATAGCGACCCCAGAAAGCAGATCCTAAGGTATTCTGTTGGGTCTTCCTTGGGAGATGGACTGTGGCATGGACCTGGGTGCTTGGGTAGGTGCGCTGAGTCAGAGGCTGTGGAAACGGGGATGGTCCAGGCAGGGCTGTAAGAAATCCTGGGAGAAGGCAAGCTTTTGGCCTTCTCGTTAAAGGATTTAAAGCATTAGGTGGTAGAGAGAAACAGAAGACCCAATTCACCTTTTCAGCTTTCTATTGGGAAGAGAATTTCATATGAACTAGGGTGGGAGAATATGCCAGAATGGAACCTTGAGGCTGGCTAGCTTTCGAGAGTATAAGGGATGGAGAGGAGCAGTCCTCCGCGATCACACTTAGGTTAAATAACAGGGGCCTGCTGAGAAATCTCATCCTGTGCTGCAGAGGGAGAGGGGGAATCGGTGCGCCTAGGAAACAGAGAAAAAGGGGATATGGACTCCAGGGATCCTCTTACAGGCCACCTGGATCCCTCTTTATCTTTGTGGGGCCCTGCTTGGTTACAGCTGGAATTGTCAACCAAAGGTCTCTAAGTTTGCATTCTAGTCCTTTAAGATGAAGGAAAAAAGCTAGGAAGGCCTAAACACAAACTTCAGCAGAGGAAATAGCTATGCAGGGATGAGCCTCCTTTTTCTTAAAGGCTATTTCTAATTCAAATCCCTGATATAGGCCAGTGTGGTGGCTCAGGCTTGTAATCCTAGCACTCCTAGCACTCCAGGAGACCAAAGTGGGAGGATCTCTTGAGCTCAGCAGTTTGAGACCACCCTGAGCAAGAGTGAGACCCTGTCTACTAAAAGTAGAAAAATTCCACATCTGTAGTCCCAGCTACTCGGGAGGCTGAGGCAGGAGGATCGCTTGAGCTCAGGAGTTTGACGTTGCTGTGAGCTAGGCTGATGCCACTGCACTCTACCTAGGCGTTTTCCCCTTTCTTTGGGGTGGGGGGGGTAGGGGAACAAGTAATAACTTGGGGCCATTTCCTTCCTTCTTTGCAGGTATCCTAATAACAGGAATCCTGTTGACTCTCCTACACTTACATGCAGA